AGATCAGTCATGGTCCGCACCCCGCGCATCGTCTACCTCCACACCCGTCTCGAACGCCTCCTCCCTATTCACGTTCGCACCTCTCTCTCTTCTGTACCTCAAGACAAGCTCTGATCCTCATCTCTCGCCGACATGACTGTCAAAAAATCCGACTTCAGGATCGAGACCCTCACCCGCGACCTAGAAGCTGACAAGCCAATCTGGCCGCTGTCATGCTTCGCGCCTGCTAAGCTCCAGCCAACCCTCATCGCGAATCTTGACGAGTCTCCAGAAGAGTTGCGCTTCAAGGCTTCACAGGCCGCGCGTAATGGTACCACGCAGGAATATGTGAGTCCGTTCTTTCAACACGCGCTCTCTTCCCCCAACACACTTGCCCGTAGTTGAAATACGAGGCGGACAAGTTCGCCGCTGCGCAATCCGAGTACACGAAAGCACGGTCCAACATGCAAGCCCTCCATGCGCACGCAGTGAAGAATCACGATGTAGCAGCATCGGGCGGGACACCAACGCCCTTTGATACGAACGCTTCAGCATTCGGCGGCGGCCACGGATTTGGGACGCCCACGTCCACTTCCGCATTCGGTGCCCCCGCCTCAACATCAACGTTCGGGAAGCCCTCAGGGTTCGGAGTATTCAGCGGGGCGGGTAATTCCGCTCCTTCAGCCTTCGGCGGGAGTGGCTCAGCCCCGGCGTTTAGCCAGGCGGCATTCAACAAGCCCACCGGCGGATCAGCGTTCGGCCAGCCCGCAGGTGGGGCGACAACCTCGGCATTTGGCACCCCCGCGCAAGGTACGACAACATCGGCATTTGGTCAACTTGCCCAAGGCGCTTCAGCGTTTGGCCAACCGGCACAGGGGACTGCCAACACGTCCGTGTTCGGTCAGCCAGCGCAAGGTGTAACAACCTCTGTTTTTGGGCAACCTACCCAGGGTCCAGCGACGTCCGCGTTTGGGCAGCCTGCTCAGGGCACGACGACATCCGCCTTTGGTCAACCTTTACAAGGGAACACAATGTCGGCGTTCGGGCAGGCTGCCCCAACCCCTGCTTTTGGTCAGTCAGCCTTTGGCAACTCGGCGGGTGGGGCATCTGCCTTTGGACAATCAGGCTCGACGGCGCCTGCTTTCGGGCAACCATCGCAGCCAACGTCCGCGTTCGGACAGCCAGGACAAGGTGCTCCCGCTTCCGCGTTCGGTAAACCCGCACAGGGACCAACCACCTCCGCATTCGGCACACCGCAGAACACTTCCGCCTTTGGCCAGTCAACGTTCGGACAGAGTGCCTTTGCGAAACCTGCCACTCCATCCGCGTTCAGCTCCACGACACCTGCTGGCAGCGGCGGCCCGTTCTCCGCTTTCGCCAATTCGGCATCATCCAGTAACACAACCGGATCTGGTGCAGGTGGGAGCAACGGGGGCGGTGCGTTCTCTGCTTTCGCCGGCGGACAACCATCAGCATTCGGCCTCGCCGCGGCCGCGAAAGCGCCAGGAGGGTCCGTCTTTGGCCAGCCTGCATTCGGGGGCGGGGGGATGAACACACCCACGCCTGCACCTGCGCAATCCGCATTCGGGGGCGGGGCGAGCACGTCGACTCTGTCGGCGTTCGGGACGACGTCTGCGTTCGGCGTGCAGCCTGCAGGAAGCACCACTCCCGCATTCGGGACAGCGCCCGCTGCCGCCCCCGCCACGTCTGCGTTCGGAACACCCCAACTTCCCGCCACGTCGGCCCAGTCCGCGTTCGGCGCCTCCGCCCCAACCACCCAATCCGTCTTCGGCTCGCTCACAAACCAGCCATCCGTGTCTGCGTTTGGTAACTCGTCCTCTTCCCCCTCGTCGTTCTTCGGACAGGGCGGGACGGCACCGAAAGAGAAGGGGCAGTCGGGGAAGCCGGACTTTGCGGCGGCACGTAAGCGTGCGCTGTACAAGCCAGGCACGACCAAGTACGACGATCTGCTGCCGCCGAACTACATAGACCTGTTGCCGAAGACGGCGCTGGAGGCATTCAGCTCTGAGAAAGATTCGTTTGACTGGTCGAACATTCCGGAGTGGATCCCACCGAAGGAACTGCGATAGGGCCGATACGATGCATGCCTCGAGTTATACATGTGTACACTAGTAGCATTGATCCATTACGATGTTGTAGGTGTCTTTTCAAGAATGGCTGGACTGCCGTGGGGGCGTTTTGACGGTGCACCATCACGTTATGCAAGCACCAGCGCCGGTTAATCAGCTATAGCAAGGTTTCCCGTGCTGAGGGATTCAGGACTCGGAGCCCCTCTAGATCTACACCTAGTAGACTCTAGGAATACTTCTGGCAGGGTTCCCGGAACCGCTAAGTCTGACAACATGAGCTATTGGCCGCGCGAGTGGCACTTCCTGTGTATACCATGACTTTGTAACGCGTTGCTGACCTTAAAAAAGTGAGGTCTGAGTCTGTGACTAACTCTCATCGGATAAATCCATGCATGTACATGGATCGCAGCGTTGGACCCAAGGAGGTGGTGGCAAATACTTACCCTGCCGCCGCAGCCTCGCAGTGACCCAGCCGTACCCGACACGAGGTGCACATAAGTCCAAATATAGTCAAACATCGCCGTTCGCAGCACGGCCGGATCGAGTCAGAAATGATAGGTTTGATCCGCGGCGGTGCTCTCCGTTGATGACCTCCAACAACGCTTGGAAGGGGCAACCTGCCAGGGGTCAACGCTGTGTGCTTATAAATTCTGTCGTCGGCCGAAAGGTATACGCGTAGTAGTGCCCAGAGCATTTTTTTTTCTCGCGCATGCCGCGGAGCTTGAGGAGACCGTCGAGAGTCATCATCTCTGCGTCGCCGCCGCAAAGTTGTCAGCGGCGTGCGAGTACATAATAATCCCACCGCGCAGGCAAGATTCTGTCTTCGCGTATACGTAGTACCGTCCCGCTGCGAGTTCGTTCCCCGCTAAATGGCACCTGCCACGCCGCTTTCAGAATGAAACGTACATCGTTGCCCATGCGGATCTCAACTGAATCTAGTGATGCCATCGACGCTAAATCTTGTTTGCACTGCTGTCGCGTACCGAGAAGGCCGGAACACCCGACCCTGCGATCAAGAAAATAGCCCGGCTCCCAATGTCCGTGTCTCTGTGACCATATAGAGGGGAGGGATTGACCAGAGTGCAGGGTCAACGAGGGAATCCCTAGAGACAAAGTTGCTGGGCTGCACATTGATGGTCATTGCAGTACTCACCGCTGAGTGAATGACGGGGTAGGTAAGCCGTCCTGAGAGTGCCTGAATGTCGCAGCTCTCAGTTGCAGAGCCGTGAAAATGACGCATGTACACGCTCAACGTCCCGCGGCTGCCGCGCCGTTATTTCACGTCAGGGAAGTTGTGTTTCACAGATACAATTCACGATCAGCCAGTACGATGGCCAGCTCTGTAGAGGATCTGGACACGGCTAGCCGTCTATTCAGACCGTACCCATGGCAAAGGCTTGGACAAGTCGAGGTTTCCGCCGCTGATGATAATGCCAACAGGGCCTTCGATGCCCAGATCCTGAAACTGCGGGCTCCTCACGGCAGCATAGGCAGCAGCGCCACTGGGCTCGACCACTATTTTCAGCCGCTCCCACATGAAGCGCATAGCTTCTATGATTTCCTGCGTTGAACATAGTCAGCAACAGGGCCACGCAGTCCGCATGATTACTGGGTGAAACTGTACCTCATCTGTGACCGTGATGACCTTCTCGACTTTGTCTTGAATAATCGGGAAGTTCAGGACACCGACTGGAGTCCTCAGCCCGTCCGCGATCGTCTTCGCGTCCACGTGCTCACGTCTCCTTCCCTCCTTCAGGCCTTGCGCACAGTCGTCTGCCCCCGCCGGCTCAGCGCCAAAGACGCGTACCCCCGTTCCCTCCGCAGCGAGGGCTGTCCCAGCCAACAAGCCACCGCCACCCACGGGCGCAACAACAGCGGCGAGCGGCTCAGGGGCCTGTTCCAGCAGCTCCAAGAGGGCGGTGCCCTGTCCCAAGATCGTGTTAACGGCGTCGTACGGCGGGACGAAGGTCGCGCCGGTCTCGTTTTGCACCGTGGCGAGTGTGGCTTCCCGTGCGGGAGCGTTGGGTTCGCAGAAGGTAATCGAGGCCCCGTACGCGCGCACCGCGTCTATCTTGGGCTGGGCCGAGTTGTTTGGCTGGCAAAAATACGCGACGGCGGTGGATCGGACAGGTTCACGGGGAACGGGCGGGGACTAGTAGGCGCACCATGACGACGTAGCACTTGACGCCTCGCTCCTTCGCTGCTAGGGCAAGGGCTCCGGCGTGGTTGCCTACCGAGAGCGTCAGCTACGCCCATTGAGTGGCTGAAGCGAAAATTGAAACCCGCGCACCAGAGCTATGCGTGCATACACCATTCGCGAGTTCTCCCGCAGTCAGGCGTGACAGGCTATGACTGGCGCCTCGGAACTTGAATGCCCCGCCCTTCTGCAAATTCTCTGCTTTGAAATAGAGCGTGTTTTTCCCAGGAAGCGCCGCCGACAACGACGAGGACGTGAAGACTGGTGTCCTGTGGATTAATGGTGAGATCGCCTCGTGTGCCGCGAGGACTGAAGCGCGGGTGAGTGGTAGAGTCGGCGGCACAGCATTGTTGGTCACAGCGTCCGAAGACATCTTCCGTTGTCTGTGTATCTATATCTGTCAGGGTCGAGGAAGGAACAGATGGCAGGATACTAACTAGGGTTGACCAAGAGGTCTTTCAAGTTGTGGTGAGATTGATTGAACCTTGCGTCAGATGATTGCGATGACTCTAGATCTGTGACTCGACGTTGGTAGTACACGTGTGCGGATGTATTAGCCTCCGCGACGTGCCGTTCGATACGGCGCGGTACACCGAGGCCCTGAAAACTCTCACAAAAATTTTAACAACTTCGGAAAGAGACTTTGAGTCCTGATGGCACTCTGTCGAAAGGCTACCTTTGACATCGAGTGGGTTCGAGATAATGTGTAGGGAAAGGGAAAAAGGAAACCAAATTTCCCTCTAGCCGACTCGAACGACTGACCTCGTCATAACCCTAACCAGGATTTTACTAGTGACGCGCTCTACCAACTGAGCTAAGAGGGATATGTTAACGCTAATGGTAAATCTCCATTCAGCGCGTTCATCGGTGTGGTAGCCTTGACGACACGCGCTAGACGACTCTTGGCAGCCGCGAGCCCTGGTGTACAGCTGCCGCCCGGTGCCGAATCCTGAGCAAAGCCTTGGCACGATGCCACAACCACCAGTCCTCCTCAGTCGGTAGCTTCTGGTGTGGGTTTGCTTCTTGGATTACTTGAATGGTCACATATCACGATATTTCAACACCGACCCGACCAAGGTTTATGAGTCTAAGCTTGGCAGCCATCCCAGCTCGCAAAAATCACAGCACCGGCCGCCGAGGAAACCAGCCACGAATCAATGGGCAAACGGGGCAGGCCTCGAGGCCCGCGATGGACCTCAGTATGTTGCATTGCCACGCCTCTATAGAGCAATATTCTGGGATGTGTCTGAGATCAAGACACCGCATTTCCATCGTCGCGATTCCCGTCCCCGGACCTCTTTTTGGGTGTGTTTCGCTTGTATCAGAGGTACGCGCGCACGGCGCATTCCTGTGTTCGTTGTGTGGGGCTGGCTTTCCTGTGCTTTGTACGTGTTCGGGTATTCTACCTATTCTTGATGCGCTAAATGACGTGGGTTCCTCGCCGAGACCGGACGACGTGGGCGGGCAGATACGCGCAAATTGTACCCGGAGTGCTGGCATCGTTGGATCCGCCCGGCTCACCTATGCTCAAGTCTCAACGGGTATAACGAGTTCCTGGCGCACGCGCGCCAGCGCCTCATTTCACAGCCTAGTCATGGGCATTATCACCCGCGAGGATCAGCGTAACGTACGGAAGAGTACTGGAAGATCTAGTTGGCTGGTTTCATTTACCGCGTACAGCTACGGCCGAGTGGAGCGATGACTTGACGGGAGAGGGGTCCCGAGAATCAGGGTCCTAGGTATTCGTAAGTTGTCTGCATTTTAATGAGTGTATTGACTTTTATTAGACGTCGAAAGAAGCAAAGATGACTAAATGACTCACCGTTCAGCCGTGGTCCCGATTACAGCGAATTGACGGAAGTATTGTTGATTGGCATAGGCCTTCCAAGGTCCGAAGGAGGGTATGTCAGGAACCCATCGCATATTGACCGCTGCCTAACTTCGCCTTTCGCAGCATCCTACGTGCGTGATCTGACACGCGACGCTACAGCCTTTGGCCGTCCGTCTCGCCACGATAGGTCTCGGCTTCTTCGGTGGGTCGCGGGTGCGGAGCGGACCGTCGTGGACCATCACGCTCGCGCATCCGCTGGCCTGTTAGCGTTTTGCCAGGCCGACGTCACGTCGCGGCACGTTCATCGGGCAGTCGTCAGGATACTCAGCATGCATCTGCTCAGGATCCTCGGGCGTGCGCCGGACACACCCGTCAGGCTGGCACCAACGGGTCCGCGGCACATTGCATTCCTCGTGCAGTTCGCTCTCGGTCTCTATAGGCCTTCCGACGTATGGACAACTTTGTTGTGGCGGCGGCGTCCGCGCGCATCCGTGTGGCCAGCTGCCAACCGCATGAGAATCGAGAGGGATAGGAAGACGACAGGAGTGGTCGGAATGGACGACTGCAGCCGTGGGTGCGTGTCAGGCAGCCTGCGCGATGCTCTCGCTCTGCACTCGGCCCGGATGGACGGCTGCGGCGTCTTCACCTCCATATGCAAATTCCCAGGGGTACCTGGGCCGCAGTGCCCTTCCGGGTACTTGTGTGGTGAGACGTCCGCGTCAGTATCCGTCACCGTGTTTTGCGACTCGACAGATTCTCGCCATTTTGCGGTGCAGAGAGTACAAAGGCGCGATTACATCATCTTCCGGGAGAAGCCCTATCAGCGTCACGTATCGCCTCGCTGTCTGACCGGGACGTGGTTGGGCCTCTCCTCGTTGCTGGCCGCGTGATGGGGGGAGCCGGGAGATCTGGGCTCTCGCAGCCTCCATGGGTTCCTTACGCGAGCTCTTGGTCATCCACAGTCAAACACTGCTTCGGACATGAGAGCGGAGGAAGACGACGATGACTCGTACAGAAGCTTGCAGCTGGTGTGTCATTGCGAATACAGATCGCTCTCGCGGATGGGGCGTCAATGCCGACGGCGCGTACGTGGACTGCAATGGTGCATCTCTGCTCGCGGCGATGGAGAACATGCAGCAATGCTGGCAGCGACACTCACTCGCACACGCGGGGAGCTCGTGCACACGATCGGGACGGGCGTGCCTTGCTCGGACGAGATCTGGGAGAGGGCACGCGCGCACCGCCATCGAGGCCATCGGAGCGCCAATCTGGGGCGAGGGACGTTTCGGGAGCGGACGAGTGTGTGAGCTCGCGGGATCGCTCCCTCTTGCAAGTCCCGCGTGGGCCATCAGGCAGGCTGTCCCGGGCGTCGTATTCGCCACACTCCTCGTATGCGTTTTGCAAACCCGACTCAGGCAGACAGACATCGCTCGGCGCGCAGCGTCCGCGAGATCCGGGCCAGTGCCCTGCTCCTCCCGCCTCTCCCTATAAAGACTCTGCAGACATGCCGTCTTCTCGTCTTCATCCTCCTAGTCATTCCTAGTCCCCGGTCGCCTCCCCCTTCCCCTTTCTGTCATTGTCATACGCCCCCTGTCGCCACCGTCTGATTTCGCTACCATGGGCGCCCAGCACCAGAAGATCTGGCTCATTACAGGTCCGTAGATCTCCACCTTGCCGCCCTCTCCACGCCGAAGCTCACCCGCCGCTTCTTCGTCCCCACAGGCACTTCCTCCGGCTTCGGAAAGCGCCTCGTCGTCTCCGTCCTCGCCCGAGGCGACTGCGTTATTGCCACCGCACGCAACCTCGAGAAGCTGAGGGCCACGTTTCCCGCCGCAGAGCGGAGTAGGCTCCGTCTTCTGGAGCTCGACGTTTCCGACCCCGCCGAGACCGTCCAGCAGCGCATGAAGGAGGCGCTCTCCTGCTGGGGCCGCATCGACGTCGTCGTCAACAACGCCGGGTACGGCGTCAAGGCCGTTCTCGAGGAGGGAGGGTAAGTGCCGGTGTGCCTTGCTGCGCGTGGTCTCTGCGGATTCTGACGTTCACGCCTCCCCGTCGATCAGGTCCCTCGCCGCACTCACCCAGTTCCAAACGAACGTCCTCGGTGTGCTCAACGTCACCAACGCCGTCCTGCCGCACATGCGCGAGCGCCGCTCAGGCACGGTGGTCATCATTGGCAGCCGCTCCGCCTGGCGGCCAGAGGTTTCGGTAAGTCCCACAGACCGTCGCCCTGTCCTCGGTCGCTAACCGCACTCCCTCACGCAGCCCGCGGGCTTCTACGCCGCCTCCAAAGCCGCAGTGCACGGTAAGCGCCCCCGCTCCAACCGCACACCCAAACCCACTCACTCACTCACTCACCCGTCCCTCCTCCCAGCACTCGGCGAGACGTACGCCAGCGAGCTCCGGCCGTTCGGGATCCGCGTGCTCGTCGTCGCGCCGGGCGCGTTCCGCACCGAGGGCGTGCACGCGTACCCGGCGACGATCCACACACACGTGCCCGCGTACGACGCCGCGCGCGCGGCGGGCATGGCGCGCTTCGCCGCGCTCGCGGGCCGCGAGAAGGGCGACCCCGCCAAGGCGATGGCGCTCCTCGTCGACGTCGTCAAGGGCGAGGGCCGCGCCGCGGGCCGCGAGTGGCCGCTCTGGCTCGTGCTCGGGCGCGACGCGTACGCGGACGTGCGCGCCAAGTGCAGCCGGCTCCTCAAGACGATGGACGCGTGGGAGGACCTCGCGACCGACGTCGAGTTCGACGAGCTCTAGATCTAAAGTCTGAGCCGCCGCCGCCGCCGCCCGTCGCGGAGTATTTATCGCTAACTATGCTCGTTCCCCGTCCGTCACACGCCATACCCCACCCATTGACATTGCCCGGATAGATGTTATGCAACCGCACGCCGCACTTGACACGGACCTCACTAGACACCACGCACTTACTCTAGCCCCTAATGTTAATCCTAGTGCCGCCTCGACGCACCTGTAGTACTCTCGGGATTCCCGCTCGCCTCACGCATGCATATGTATATGATGTCCAGATAGGATCCGCATCGTACCACCCACCTTGTTGCCATAGTTTATTTCCTTTTCTAGGCTATGACCCCTCCCATGCATACTACACACACACCCCACACGCTATGGATATCCACGATTGTCACGAGCTCCCTGGATCCCCGACTGGAATCGATATAAAGATATATATCTTCCATTGAAGCACTTTCCAAAAAGTTCATCTGCATTGACGTTGCTGTGCCGTCCATCCGGGCTGAGTTGTCTGAAACAGATTGCAAACTTGTGGTCCCAGCCATCTAAGGCGCAGAGCAATGCAATGGCCACAGGAATCCAATCTCGAACAGATGCGCCCCGGAATCACCCGTGATTCTTCCTTGCGAGTCTGCGTTAAAATCGGACTTCGTGACGTCATTCAATAGACGGCGGGGCGTGCCGCTCGTGGCCAGAAATGCAGACCCATCTTCGCGGAGACAGTAGCCTATCATACCGGCCGGGGTGACTATAATGCAACACAGCGACAGACGAAGCCCAGAGCCAGCCAGAAGGAGACGGAAAGCGCGATACGGTGAATACATACACCGATGCCAACATGAAGGGTCGTGCTCGTCGTCAGGACATTACCGGTCAATGAATGCAGTCATAAAGTCGTCTCTGAGAACGCCGGACTGAGCGGCGGCCGATTCGATCGCCACATGCCACGATACCCGGCAGTGTTCACTTGCCGAGGTTGGAGCGAATGACGTTGGTCAGTGTGTACCCGTCGTCCTAGTACGTGGACGCGGATTAGCCTTGCAAAAAAATTGGCAGAGTGATTGAACGCAGGCGTACCTGATCCAGAGACCACGTAAAGCACCCTGCCATGCCGTTCTGTTTCGCGAACAGAGCCTTGTCTCCGAGTGAATACGTGTCATCGTACGTCACGACCGTCTTGCGCGACGTGTTGAAAAGGAATGGCGTGTCGCTGCAGTCGTCCCAGCCTATCCACCACATCTC